GACCCTCCCAACCCTGCTGCCCCAGGAGAGCTATAAACACCGTTTCCACTGGGGGAAGTCATTAAGGTGCCTGCCCTAGCAGGTAACATGTCACTCTGTCCTCTCCCAGTTCAGTGGTCACCAACAGGAGCAGCACAGACCCCACGCTGCTGAGATTCCCCAGGCAGCTCCTGCTCTCAGCCTTACCAAAGTTGTTGCTGGGGTAGCGCTTACGCAGGCGCTCAGTCAGGCGTGACACCTTGCTGCGGATCACATCATTTTTGCTCATAAAACCGTTGTCCGGAAGGCTGAGGTCAAAGTCTGCTGAACATTGAGAGCCCTCATCATCCTCCTATAAGGAGCAAAACCAGATAAACAGAGAGCAGTGGGGGGCGGGGGGGCTAGGGCAGCCTATCCCAGTGACAGGCATGAAAACAGGAGGCTTCACCTGTCAGCGTCACAAGCTACTGCCAAAATAGACAAAGGCTACCAGTTCCAGATGGGAAGAGATACCCTCTTGCACACCTCAGCACAGCAGTACTCACCATGACCAGCAGCTGGTTCTCCTTCTCCCGCAGCATGGGACAGAGAGGAGAGGCAGTAGAGATGGAGTCAAACTGCAGAGGTGCCCAGCCCCACTCCTGCCCTCCCCAAGCATCCACTTTGCCCCACCACAGCAGTCCTCTGCCCCAATTGCCTGGTCTGCAGGCACAGCCCACCCCCATCAGGCTCAAACCTCAATAGCATCCTTGAACTCTTCATCAGGCTCTGCCTCCTCTGCCTCCTCCACACTGCCAGGGGTAAGATCCTGCAAGAGATTCAGAGCTAGTCGTGTCCTATTTCATCTCCCTCAAAAGTAGGGGCCACACTTTCAAGGCAGCTCTAGAATGAAACATCAGCTCACTGGCAGACCCATAAAGTGAGAGTCAAAATGTAGGGTGAGCCCCTGCCTCCCCAGGGTAACTCCAAACACATAGCAGGGTGGAGTGAAGAAGATCCCAGTAGAGCAAAGCATTTCAAGATTGGCTCCCAAGCCAGGCACACAGGCTTCCAGCAAAGCTACTTTGTGTGCAGGTGGACAGAAGCAAAACCAGACCCAAGAGCTGAAGCTGAAGCTCCCACTCCACATCTCCGAGTCCTACCACCACTCACCTCTGTGCTGGTGGGTGTGGGAGTCCGGTCTGGTGGGGCATCAGTTGGTAAGGGCTTGACAGGCTCTGGAGTGCTCTCAAGGGGTTTGGTGCCCAAACTCTGCTCAACTGAGGCCTTGAGCTCCTTTATCACTGGTAAGGGGTAATACAGCTGGATCAGAGTTGCACTCCCCTTCCTTCAGCCCCTCCACACACATGGCTGCAAGAACCAACCTCCAGCACTCAAGATAGGTCAGCAGCTCCCACAAACTTCCTCTGTCCAGTGCCTTGAGCCCTCTGGCTCACACACAGACATTAGGGAAGCTACTGATCTGGGGAGAGGAAGGAATTCCCCACCTGCCCCAGTTCAGACCAGGGAACAGCGGGAGGTCAGACACAGTTCAACCAGACTGACGTGCAGCTCTCCTTCCATCCAATACGGCACTTGCAGTCTAGTGTCACACATTCGCCACGTGCACTGAGAGCATTTCAAGTCGTGTAGAGCCAGGCCAGGGAAGGGAGGTGATGCTCACATACAGGCTGCATTGCCAGGTCCCAGTACAAGGAAAAAGCACCCACAACAGGAGCCACACAAGATGAGAGTCCCACCTCTCAGATCCAAGCCCCAGGACCCCACCATCCACCCTGCACTGCTGGGTGCCGACCCCAGAACATTAAGTGCTCTCCAAGGTCCAGGTCCCATGGCAGACACATGAAAGTGTGCTCACAGGAGGTCACTGACAAAAGATGAGCACAGAGTCCACAGCTTCAAAGGGTCTTTGCATAACCCATCCCACACAGGCCCCCTCCAGGAAGAGCCTTTACCTTGGTAGAACTGGCTGTTACCCAGGAAGAGAGTGCTGTTGAGAATGGCCATGACCCAGCAGAGCGGCAGCAGGTAAAGGATGCAGACAGAGCCCAGCAGCGCTCCGTAAAACCTGGGGAAGACCAGCAGGTCAAGAGAAATCAGTTTTTCCCACAGCATAAAACTCATCGTCCCTCTCCTTGTCCTTTGTCTGCTCTCTGCAAGCACCAAATACACCAAGAGTAGCTCTACTGCTCTGGTCCCTGTCCCCGCTAAGCCAAGCAAAGGGCACCCAATGCAGTCCCACTCACTGGGATGAGACAGTAGGGTTCTCCCAGTACAGCACTCGGTACACCGCCTCACAGCTGTAACACAGCCCGCTCAGGAACCCCTCCAGCTGAATCAGGCTGAAACGAGACCGCAGAGTTAAGAAATGGCCTCACAAACACACACGCTGGTTTGCTCCACTCACACCGCGTGACTCAGGGAAGGCGATTCCACAGGACAGGAGGGTGCCGGACACTCACAAGCACTTGACCTGGGCGAGGGCCTCCTGGCGTGAGAGCTGCACTTTGCGCAGGTCCTCACGGCGCACGCTGTGGTACTTCCTGCGCAGCAGCTCCCGCTCCGAGGGCCGGACGCGGCAGGTCTCCTGCAGGTAGCCCAGCAGGGCCGGCAGCAAGACGAGCAGGGCCAGCACTGAGTACCAGGCGGCTGGAAGGAGTAGCACAGCATCAGCTGGCAGGGCGGCGGGCCGGAGCCCAGCACCGCCGCGCACACACGCGCACACACACGCACACCTTGGTCGAGGGTGAGGAGGAGGAAGTTGAGGCCGAGGCAGACGAGCAGAGAGCACAAGGGCCGCTGCCACCTGTGGGAACAGAACACGGTGAGGGGCGGCAGCCGCGGCCCCAAGCCCAGTCCCGGCCCGCACCTACCGGAGGAGAGAGCGCACACCGTCAGCCGCATCCCGCAGCGGCTCCAGGTACAGCTCCAGCCGCCGGTAGCTCCGCACCAGGTCCAGCAGATCGAAGGCGGCGGCGGCCTTGGGAGGCGATGGCGGCTCCGACGAAGCCTCACCGCCCCCCGTTGCCGTTGCCGTTGCCGCTGCCGCCTCAGGGCCGCCGGCCGCCCCGTCCCGCTCTGCCGCCTGCATACCCGGCCCCCCAGGACCCGCACCGCGCCCCGCTTCCAGGAAGCGGCCAGGTGCGCCGTGACGTCACCCGGCGGCGCGGCACGCAGCCAATCAGAAGAGCCGGGGTGGGAGGTGAGGGCGGAAGCCCCGCCCAAGCGATGGCAAAAAGGCGGAAGTGGCGGCGGCCCCGTAGTGGCCGTGAAGGTCCGTGCTGGGTCTGGCTGGTGGAGTGGCGCCGTGCGCTGAGCTGGGTCTGATTCGACTCTGGCCCCGCGCCGAGGCCCGGCTTAGCTCGGAGGGCGCTGGGAGAGGCCGGGTTCATCTCTTGCTCCCAGCCTTGGCTGCGTGGAGCTGCCCTGCAGAGCAGCACGTGCTCCTGCTTCCACCTTACTGCGAGCAGGGCCCATCCGTGGAGCACGGCCCTGTGTCACCCCAGCGCCGGGCACAGAGCTGTGTCTGATGCTGGCCTTAAAGCATCCGGCCCTGGGAGGTGTCAGGTCCCCAGCCCTCCCGAGTCCTGGCAGTGTCCAGCCTAGGAAGGGACCTTTTCAACCAGGAGAAACAAAGCCTACAGGAACGCAGCTCTGTGTGGTTCTCATCGTGTTCTGCCACACAGCCCTGAGCTGCAGGAAGAGCTCACGTCCATATCCCTATCTCTAAATTGTAGAGAGATGGGTTTGAGGGGTGGACCATTCTGTGGACTGAGGATTAATTGTGTGATTGTAGCTGGGGGATTGTTGCTAGTGCTTCTATGTCCAGGGAGGAACTGGTGACATGTGATGTTCCCCAGGGGTCCCCCTTTGGGGACTAATATGTTTTAGTATCTTTATCAATGACATAGACCAGTGGGATTGCATGTAACCTCAGCAAGTTTGCTGATGACACTGATGCATGGTGCAGCTGATACAACAGAAGAAGAAGGGGTACCATCCAGAGAAGTCTGGACAGGCTAGCAAAGTAAGCCCCCAGGAACCTAATGAGTTCAAAAAGGCCGGGTGTGAAGGGTTGTGATTGGGTCACAGCAATCCCAGATATGTGTACAGAGCGGGAGGAGAACTCCTTGAGAGCAGCCCTGCCAAGAATGACTTGGGAGTCTGGATGAATGAAAAGCTGGACATGAATCAGCAGTGTGCTCTTGCAGCCTGGAAGGCCCAGTATCCTGGGCTGCAACAATGGAGGAGTGGCAGCAGGGGGAGGGAGGAGATTGTCCCCCTCTGATATGCCCTCATGAGGCCCCATCTGGGGTACTGTGTCCAGGCCTGGGAACCTCAACACAAGAAGGATGTGGAGCTGTTGAAATCGGTCCAAAGGAGGGCCATGAAGGTTATCAGAGGGCTGGAGCACCTCTCCTATGGGAACAGGTGGAAGGAGCTGGGCTTGTTCAGCCTGGAGAAGGAAAGGTTTCTAGGAGACTGCACTGCAGCAGTTCTGGTACTTAAAAGAAATTTATAATCAAGAGGAAGACAGACTTTTTTCAGTCTGGTAGTAACAGGACAAGGAGAAATGATTGTAAACTGAAAGGGAAAGTTTAGGTTAGACATTAAGAGGCACTGGCACAAGTTGCCCAAGAAGCTGTGGGTGCCACATCCCTGGGGGCATTCATGGCCAGGCAGCCAGCCTGTGGCAGAGGAGTGGAATTGGGTGGGCTCTAAGGTCCCTTGCAACTTAATCATTCTGTGATTCTATGATACACAGGCACCAAGTTCTGTCCCATCCCTGGAGGGAGTGGCAGGGCTGGGACAGCCCATCCTCAGGGGCAGAGGTTTGAACCCCTCTTCCAGAGACCAGTAGCTCAGCACCAGGAGTCCACCCACAGCTGCAGAGTACACTGGGCCCCTACAACCGCTGTTTCAAGTGGGGTGACCCCAAGACTGCAGAGCCAAGTGTAAGCTTGGTTCATCTCCTGTCCCCTGCAGGTCCCAATCCTGCTACAAAACCCCAGACACCAAGCGAGCGTCAGTGTTGCTTTATTTGGAATGTGAATCCAGAGGCACCAGAGAAGGGGCTGCAGTAGGATGGTGGCATGTACAACAGGCAGCGTGGGGTTGTGGGGCAAGGCACTTTTGGCAGCTCGTGCAGGCAGCCTGGACCTCGGGGCTGCACTGGAGCACGCAGGAGCTAGCAGTGTCTGGGACCAGCCCTGACACAGAGTAGGGACAACACATCCTGCCAGGGGGTGGCCCAGGGGCTGGCAGAGTGCAGGAGCACACAGGTATCTGCTTAGACAGCCCTTGGTGATAGAAGCTGTGATCTAGTGCCAGCTCAATCCCTCCATGCCATTGCTGCTGCTACCCCCACAAAAAGGCACCAGGTGACAGCTGCGGGGGCCACAGTCCTCCAAACTGAGCCTACGCAGGGGCTGGGACAGTCCTTTTCTGCCCTGAAAGCAATAAGAGAATGTGTCCTCAAGCAGGGTTAGGACAGCTGGTGGCCAAGGCAGCTCTGGCATGGTGCTCCTCCAACACTTCCCAGTCTCTGGTTGCCCAGTGCTTCCACTGACCCCACACAGCCCCGGCCACCTGTGGGGTTGGTCCAGGCCTCACTACCAGAGCCCTCCCCTCACAGACAGTCTATGTCCTACAAGGGTACTGCTGCAATCACTCTTCCATTATCAGTCTGCGGGCAGCACAGTGATGGAGATGGAGACGTATTCCCACAACAAAGAGAGTTGAGGATGACAATCCAAGTGCAGTGGAGCCAGGCAGGTAGGCTTAGGGGTCTTTGTGGCGGGATGGGAGCCCCACTCCCAGTGCAGAACCAGCCAAAGGATGCAGCAGCAGCACTGAGCTCCAGGCTGCGATGACAAAAACACCAAACCCCAAGGCTGGAGGAATGTGTTGCCCCGCCTTGCTCACAGAGGCAGCCTGCAGCCCCCTCCCTGCCACGGGCTCCAGCAGTAATGGGGGCTTTGCTGGGTTCAGCTCCAAGGTGGGATGGAGCATCTGGCATTGGGGCAGCAGTTGGTGAGGCTGTGCCCACGGTGGGTAAGGGCTGTGCCCACAGGGTTCTGGGAAGACACCGGACGTGGAGGAGGGGCCCGAGCTGGGGAAGCTGAGAGCAGAGCAGAGCCTCCATTAGGCAATGCGGAGGCCTCAGGGCTGCCAGCAGGGTAAGGGCTGGGCCCAGCTTTGCTCCACTCCTCCAGCACAGCATTCATCTCCCCAGGGACAGAGTTGGCACCCACCTGAGCACACCCAGGGCAGGAGTCAGGCAGGGCCCCACAGGGCTCCCAGCAGTTGTGGTCCACTTGGGCGCTCCCTGCTTGGGTCCTTTGATTTGCTTACGTCCATCTGTCATTCTGTGCGGGGTGCAAAGGGGCTGATGCAGCAATTGGTGCCCACTGTCCTGGCAGAAGGTCTCCATCTGTCTGTTCATCCATCCGTGCAGAGGGCAGTGGAGGAAGCGCGGTGCAGCAGCCGGGAGGGGACAGAGCAGCGGAGTCACCACGTCCTAAAGCAGGGCCGCGGTCCGTCCGTGTGCAGGAAGCGGGGCAGCCACGGGGCTCAGACGATGTCACGTTGGTCCCGGCAGCGCCGTGCCAGGCAGTAGAGCCCGGAGAAGAGGTACAGGCAGGCAGCCACGGCCCCGCAGACAGCAGCTCCCAGATAGGCTCCGTAGAGACAGCGTTGGCTGTAGCCCGGCAGATTGCAGTAGCTCTTTTGCCCGGCTTTGTGGCCCATGATGCCAGCGGCGGCCGTGCAGAGCCCGACACCCAGCACCAGGTCGTGCACCAGGTTGGCCAGCAGCCAGCGGGAGCCCAGCCAGGGCACGAGCTGCCAGCGCCCCAGCGCGCTCAGCCCGAAGAGGCCCAGCGTGAGCAGCCAGACGAGGACGGCGGCGAAGAGGGCGAAGTGGGCCGCTCCTTCGTACCAGTGGGCCGCCACGGTGAGCCAGAAGGCGGCGCCCACCGCCAGCTGCCCCAGGCGGAGCAGCCCCAGCGGGCTCCGCAGGAAGGCGCGGTGCAGCCCGAGCGAGCCGCGGGGCGGCGGTCCCGGGGGCGGCGGCGGCACGGCCGGGGGAGCCGTGCGGGCCATGGCGGGGCGCTGCCTGCTGCGGGGCGGGAGGGACTCGGCGCCCCGGCAGCACTTACTGAGGGCGGCTGGCCGCTGCCCAACATCTGGCGTCGAGCGGTCCTCCCCGCACGGGGCCTCTCTCCTCCCCCGCCCCGCCTCCCGCCGGCCCACTGCGCGCGCGGAGCCCCGCGGCCGCCCCCCGCCGCCTCCTCTCCCAGCCGCCGCCGCCGCCGCCGCCTCCCGCGCCACGGGGCCGGGGAGCTCGGCGGGACGTCACGGCGGAGAACGGAGGAGCGCGCCGTCGGGGAGCGCGCGCCGGGGTTCCCTCGTTACGTCACGCGGGGTTTCCCTTCGGGGTGACGCGCGCTGGCCACGCCCGGGGGCGGAGCCTCGCCCAGCCGACCCTCCCCGCCTTGTTGACGTCAATGGCGCCACGTGGCCCACCATTTCGAGAGGCGGTGCGGCCACGCCCCCTCCCGACGGCGATTGGTCCGTACGGAGAAAAGTGGGCGCGGATTGGCGGCGCCGCGCGGGGCGGGGCGGATCCGAAGAGTGAATGGACGAGGCGCGCGGCGCGGAGCGGCGGCGGGACTGCGGGGCTGCGGCGGCGCGGAGCGGCCCTGGGCGCGGCGGCGGGATCGCGGCGGACGCGCGGCGGCCGCCCCCAGGTCAGTGCGCGGGGCCGGCGGACGGGAGGCGGGGGCGGCGGAAAGCGGGTCACGGCGGGGACGGCGCGCCGGACACCGGCGGGCGCCGACCCGAGCCGGGCCTTCCCGCATTCCTGGGCGCGCCGCTGGCGGCCTGCCCGCGCCGCTACGGCCCCGTCCCGGGCGGGCTGAACCGGACCCGCCGCGGCCTCACGCCGTCCTTCCGCAGCGGCCGGGCCATGGGAACGCCGGCCTCGGTAGCGAGCGATCCTCCGGGACGAGCGGCGCCCGCCGCCCGCGGCCGCAAGCGGGCCTCGGCCAACATTTTCCAGGGCGTGGGGCTGCCGGAGCTGCGCAGCCTGTTCCAGAGCGGCGGGGCCGAGAGCCCCGAGGAGCGCGCCCGTCTCGTCTGGCGCTACGCGGGGCAGCGCCGCATGGCACGGGTGCTGCGGCAGCTTCGGCGGCGGAGAGCGGAGCGGCGCGGCGGTGAGACGACGGCTTTACGGCGCTTCGGCCGCCTCCGGTAGGTGCGGGCCGGGTCGGCGAGGGGACCGCGGCCGAGACGCGCCCTACTCACCGCCGCCCGTTTCCGCAGCATCACCGATAAGGAGCCCGAGGAAGACGGCACGGACGCGGTGGCCTCGGGGCCCCTGCAGCAGCACTGAGACTGGGCAGCAGGCCCGCCGAGGACACTAAGTGTACAGGACTTGAGTGCAATAGTTAATAAAAGGTGGACAGCGGTGGCTGGGTGAGGCTCCGTGGCTGTGACAGCGGTCCCACCTCTGCGATAGACCCAGCACCAGCTGAGACAATAAGGAGGCCAGGTGAACTGCAGCTCTGTTATTCAGACAGTTGCATGGTTTAAATACATTACATACATTTCTACAGTGCATTAGAACAATACATTTGGGGTCAGTCAGAGATGTAGCCAGGTCTGGGAGCTGAGGTCTCACTTCTACACCCCTGTACTTTCAGCACCCTCAGGACAGTCACTGCAGAGCCCCCTGTGCAAGTAGGAGACAAGTGAGCTGCCCTCCCCTCACAGCTCCAAGCAGCACAGTCCCAGCCTTCACTTCCCTCCCACCCCCCAGGGCTGGGCAAACAGGACAGTGAGACCCAACCCCAGCTTTCCCCCACACAGGGAAAGTCACAGCTCAAGGCAAGCAGATGCAGGCAGCAGCCCTGGTACCGTTTTATACAAGACAGTTCAGCAGCTTTGGGGGAGAGGGAGCACTCTAACTGCCTCACCCACTCACATCAGGCCAACAAGGTTAGCAGCACTGGGGCAGCCAGGAGCTCGCACCAGCCCTCATGTGCTTCCAGTACACCAGTTCTCACATGACTCCCACCAGCAGGAAGAGCTCCTCCCACCATTCTCTGTCCCCAGCAGCCCCCCATCCCCTAAGAAAGGACCCCAGATGCACAAGCAAAGCTGGAGCTGTGCTGGCTGGCCCAATGCTGGCTGCACAGCAGCCAGAAACCTTACTGAGCACAGGGGCAAAAGCCAAGCAAGAGCAGCTGCAGTGACCTGCAGGATGGATGGATCAAAGGAATGGAGGGCCAGAGGCCACTTGTACCTCCAGCCCTCTCTACAGCACCTCCAAGAGCCACCTCCTCCGAACCAGGATAAGCCAGCACCTCTTCCTTTAGTGTCAAACTGTATTCAAGCCTGCCCTAGGGAGCAGGCAAGAGTGGAGTTCTCCTTACATTCCCTCCTCAAGCCCCCAGCCAGAGAACAGCCGTTCATTATGGTCCCCACTGCACCAGCAGGCAGCAGGAACTCCCCCTGAGGAAAGCAGCTTGCACAGGGTTGGGGCAGAAGAGAGAAAGTGAGGAGTATAGCATGCCTTTGGGGAAGCGGAAGGCAGAACAACCACCCTCCAGCCGTTGGGCCAGCAGTGGGGAAGAGGAAGGCTGGCAGCTGGTGCAAAGAGCTGGACGGATCCTGGCCTGGGGAGCCTGGTCAGGTGTGCTCAGAACCGCATGCAGGGCGAGGAAGAGAGGCACAGGCAGGGTCCCAACTGCTTCCCATGCCTCCTGCTGAGCTCTTCCCTCGGCAGGGCTGTATGCACACCATACAGCTCCAAGGGAGCTGGAGAGGGACAGTGCCCAATCCACCTGGCTTCCTCCACTCCAGCTGCAGGCTCCTCCAGCCCCAACCTGCTCACTTTACCCAGAGCATCAAATCCCAGCCACAGGAGCAGCTCAGCTCCTCTTGCAGTGCCAGTCCAAGACAGCCAAGGCCTGCCTGCAGCTCCCACAGCTACCACCAAGTGAAGAAAGGCTTCCGGCTCTGGAAGCTCTGCGTGTAGGACTCGCTGGCAGTGCGCTGGTGGGAACGTGCCGTTTCTACAATCACAGGTGGCATCTGAACCAAGTGCAGGGGGCTCTTCCCATCTTTCAGTGCCTGTGTCAGGTTCAGTATCTGTAAAACACAGAGCAAAGCTTGAGCTGTCCCAGTGGAGGAAGAGAGCCAGCATCCCAGCACCATTTCCTGACAGCCAGACAAGACAAGGCTCTGTCACCTCATTCATTTGCCTTACCTGACCTCTCATGACAGCAATCTGCTTGTGAAACTGTCCCCTGTCAAAGCCAGGGTCCTTCTGCAAGAGAGAGCAAACAATGCATTGGTATCCACTCTGACCCATGCTATTCAAGAGCTGCCTGTTTTCCAAGCAAGCCTCTCTCCTCTTGTCCCATGAGATTCCTGCTTCTCCCCAAACTGTATCTTTAGCTCCTGGTAGAGGAATAGCCCTTCTGTTTCAGCTCAGAAACACCACGAGTAGCCCACCTTTTTATCCACCACAGCTTTGACAAAGAAACCCCAAAACCACCCTGTTTTTCTTCTTCTCAAGCCACCCCTCAGCCCCTCCCTAGTTCACCTTGAAGAGCTCATACAGATCTTCCTCCAGATCTTTGACAAAGTTTGGGTCCGAGATCTTGGGAAGAATTAGGTCTTTGATCTCTTGTGAAAAGGGGATTTTGGCCTGCGGTAACCATGCCCAGTAGAAGGGATCTGCAGGAGGAAGCATGAGACATTAGAGCTACAGAAGGGAAAGATGCCTCATGGCCTTGGGTGCAGCATACACTTCCTACAGCCAATGAGGCAGAGCTATCCATGCAGCTAGAAGGTTTTTCCAGAGAGGGAGCCCTAGCTACTGCCTCTTCCAGCCCTCCAGGAACATGCCCCAGGACAGACAGCACAAAGCTGCACAGCTCTGCAGAGTACCTCAACACAGCATAAGGGACTCACATGCTCTCCAGGAGTCCGGATGCTTCAAAGGAAAGGCCAAACCATTATCTATAGCAGCAAGCTTGATGATGGGCTCTTTCACAACCACCCAGTCACTGTCCTGGAAGGAAGTGGAGCACTAGTCACAAGGGAGCCTTCCCCAACAGAAGCAGTCTGTCTGCCACTCCCAGCAAACAAGATCAGGCTCAGAAATCCAAGACAGCTGGGAAATCCCAGCCTGCCAGCCAGCTTGTAGAAGCAGACAGGCCCATGAAGCCTCTGCCCAGGATCTGCTCACCCGTACGCCTGCGCTGTCCAGGGGACAGTCATATTTGATGAGCCAGTTGTCATTGCCCCGATCTGCAAGGAAAGAAAAAACAGCTATATCAGTGCGATGGCCTGTGCTGGGTAGGATTACTTCTCTGACACAGTAGAAATTCAAGTTGCATAGACCCAACTCTACCCCAGAGCCCTCAAGCTTGCTGCGGGCGTAGGAAGTCATAAATCCCCACATATCTAGGTCTTGAGACTAAAGAGGTCCACGTAGCCCCAGCTCTCAAGAGAAAAGTCAGCCTGCAAGCTTTGGAGTCCAACCCAAACCCATTTCGAGCTGAAACAGACTTGGAAACCCAGCCTGAGATAGGATACTGTGGCACAACCAGAGGATGGATCTCTCAGCATTCCTGGATCCTTGCACCTGGCAAATATTCATCACTGCAACTGCGTGGATCCCAGGCTGGCTCTCTCAGCATTCCTGGATCCTTGCACCTGGCAAATATTCACCACTGCAACTGGGTGGATCCCAGGCTGGCTCCCAGTCTCCCAGGTGAGTAGTGACAGCAGCTACACTCCACCCAGAGACAGTGCCAGCAACCAGGCACTGTTGATAGGAGTTCTGGGTTCCAGGAAGAGAAGCCAAATCTCTGCTTGCTCTTCAGCTGGCAAAATATAAAAGAGCAGGCAGCCAGCCCTACCTGTGTTCCTGATGATGTAGTCCAGCACCACCAGCCGCTCAAACTGCAGCAGCAGCTGCCGGTTGGTGTTCTCAGGAAGTGGCTCAGCCTCAAACCGCCGCAGCCAGTAGTCAGCGTCCTTGTAACCTTCCACAAACAGCTGGAAGGAGCCCACCTGAGGCAAGGAGAGACTGCGTTATGGAGGACCACAGAAGACAGAGGAGCAGTGAAAGGCACATGGGGCCTGGTAGCCCTACCTTGGGAGGCAGGCCAATGCGGTTAAACCGCTGACCCACTTTCGGGACCTTCTCCAGGGCTAGTCTCTTTCCTCGGGACTTCACTCTGTCAATGGCACTGTAGTTAAAGGTCTCACTGGCCAGATACACCACCTGGGGTATAGGAGCACAGAAGTCAGCAAGCGCATCTGTCAGCTGTCACAGTTCTTTGTTTTATCATTAAGGCATAGATTTCCCCCCAGTTCTGCTCTGTAAAAGGATCCCCATGGCATGGGCAGGAGCACATGGAAGCCTCCTCAGGACAAGATCACAGCAACTGCCTCCTCACCTTTGTGCGGGGAACAATGTTGAGTTCCAGTTTCTGGTCCACCAGACTGGCACCTGCCTCTGATAGGTAGCCCTGGTTCAGAACAAGGCAGTCTCTCCCAAAGCAGCACGGGCAGCACAACTTCTGCAGCCACTTGGTCCACTTGGGGTTCAGATGCCCGTATGGCTCCTCATTCTTGGGTTTGAAGACACCAATAATTTTCTGTAAGCAAGAGAAAAGCTGATACTCAGTGCTTGACAGAGCCAGGGCACTCACCCCTGAGCCAGCCTGCGGCTCTGCCATAACAGCACAGTCTCAACCAAGTTCACGCTCCCTCAGCACCCAACTCTGCTGTCTTTCCCTGCTACCTTCTGCCAATGACCACCCCCAGATCCAAGAGATTCCTTCTTGGGTAGAAAAGAGTTTGGGGACAGTTGTTGCCACTCACTGCAAGGTCCAGAGCAAGTGGAGACAAAATGACAAGCTCAGGATTCTCCTCTGCCAAGAGATCTGCAACCTGGAGCTATGGTAGACTCTCTTCTCTCATCCTAGGTTTTCTTCAGGCATCTCCCTCTCTGGTCCCTGCACAGCTCCTGTGAGCAGTGTCCCAAGACCTTCGTACTCACTCACAACTTTCCATGTACCATAGGAGAATGCTGATGACACTGTCCCTGGTAAATATTCTAGCCTTATCCCACTGACCTTTGGATGGTGGGGGGAGAGCTACTGCTTGTGGCTACCCATTTCCTCCATGCAAGGAGCAGAAGGAGATAAAGATTCCTATATTGAGTCCAGAATTCATCAAATGGACCTGATTCGAAATGGACCAGAGAAAACGGGGCTTAAACAGCAAGGAAGGCTGAAGGACTTCAGAGGAAACCAAAGCTCTGTGTTGTGAGGCCCAAAGAGAGATGCTAGGGGAGGGAGGTTGTGCCTAAGGACCATATACTAGGATCCACACTGTCTGCTTTGCCAAGCCACACAGCTGAGACA